GGGAATCAAACCGTGACCTCCAGGTTCATGGGTCGATGCTCAACCTCTGAGCCATACCGGCCAGGCCAGTTACTTTTTAATAGTTGAAAAGTAGTAAAGCCTGTTTATTTTATTGTTTGAAGGGTATGCATTGTTTTTAAAATGAGCTTTCATCACCTAGTAAAACAGTTCATCATCCTTGTTAAAAAATAACATTACAGACAAATCTAAGGCGCCCTGGATTCCTCCATGTCCAGGCCCCCACGGCCCCCCTCCCCCCTCCAGGTAGCCTCTGCCTCCGCCCTCCACACCCGGGTATTGACGCAGATGCTGTCGGTGGCCTGCCCCATCACTCTGCCCTTTATCATTCTGGACCACCCTCACTGGGCTTCCACCTGCTGTGCCTGCATCTCTTTGCCCAGGTGATTTCTCTGTGGCCACTGGTGCTTCTCTGCCCACGAGCTTGGCAAGCTGAAGTTCTCGAGAAACATCACCCCCTGCCCCCAGGAGGAGCCCTCGGCCAGTGACTGACGGGCAGTTCCCTCACCTCTGGAGCGGGTTCAGCCTCCCAGGGCTCCTAGAGGAACTGAGCTTCAGGTGCCCTCAGGGGTGACTGTCCTGATGACAAACCTCTATAGACTCCTTCTCTCTCTGTCTCCCTTCCCCACTCCTCTACTAGGGTTTTCTGGGATCAGTTCCCAAATTAAATAGTAAATGCACTGGAAGTCTTTTCTAGGGTCTGCTTCTAGGGAAACTCAAGCTTAGACATACATAGCCGTGGGAAATATGGAGTATTTTTTTGTGTGTTAACATCAAAAACTGTGCTGCATGAATTGTGAAGTAGTACCCTTCTATTTCCATTTGGCAGGTGAGAAAACTGAGACTCAGGGAGAGAAGGAATTAGCCCAAAGCGTCACAACTGATAAGAGGCAACGTCGGCACTCGAACTCAGGTCTTCTGTGCTCTGTTACTGTCCTTCAGTTTTCTGGTAGTGATGAGGGAGGGTCTCCTATTCTCTTGTTTGCACCTAAGTCTCCTGGGCTAAAGGATCTCAGAGTGATGGTGGGAGCTCGAGCGGGTGTCTCAGGGGAGAATTAGGGATGCAAGAGCCACCCAGAGGGTGCAGTGACATGCAGAGGGCGCAGCATGTGTGGCCACCGACACTGGCCAAAAAGAAAGACACATTGTACATCCAAGCAAGGTTTTTTTCTGCATCATTACCCATGCCTCTGAAAGTACACTGAAACTCCCAGTCCCTGGGGTGGAGAAAACTGGAGAAATGGCGTGAAGATCAAAGTGCTATGGGGATTTGTTGAGAAAGATGGAGGCTAAGAGAAACTGTACCACTAACCAGCTGTGTGGCTTTGGAACAGTTACTTACCCTCTCTGGGCCTGACATTCCTTTTCCATAAAAAGGGAAGCCTTGGCATGACTGGAGGGCAGAGCTTGAAAACTCAAATGTCTGTAGGAGCCCACAGGGCCATCCACAGGAGGAAAGTGGTCCCAGAAAGGGTGGTGCAAACCGGACAGCTCAGGGCAGTGTACAGGGCAGCCCCTACTCAGCTTCGCCAGTGCTGCCATGAGCGAATAGCAGAGAAGCATGGGAGACAGAGGTCTTAGTCCCAGGACGGCTAACTCTTCCAGGTTTTCAAGAAAAGACAGAAATCTAGACTTGTGTGCTGTCTCAACTTTAAATGTTAGCAACTAATTAAAAAGAATCACTGGGTAGAGCCAACTGAAACATACCTATGTGCTGAAATGTCTCAGAGGTTGTTCAACAGTCTTACGTTCTGTATTTTTGAGGCCCTACTATGTGTCAGTGTCAAGTGTTAAAGATACAGTGGTTCAGGAGACAGCACGCCTGTGCCCTGGTGGGACTCACTTTCTAGAAGAGTTTAAAGTCCAAGCCCTGGCCAGTCCCCTGAATACAAATAACTTTCTCTTCTACCTCTGGGGTAAGGGCCCCAGACAGCAAGCAGCCTGGTTGGGGTGTGATTAAGATTTATGCTTCCCACACCACTAGGATACTTATAATAATAATGATTTTTTTTTTTTTTAAAGAGTGAGTGTTGGCGAAGATGTAGAGAAATTGAGACCCTTGTACATTGCTGATGGGACTGTAAAATGGTGGGAAACAATTTGGCGATTCCTCAGAAAGTTAAACATGGAATTACTATAGGCCCCAGCAAGTCCAGTCCTAGGTATCTACCCAAGGGAATTGAAAACTGGTGCGCAAACAAATACATGTACATGCGTGTGCACAGCAGCATTATTCACAATAGCCAAAAGGTGGAAACAATCCAAATTTCCATCTGCAGATGAGCGGATAAACAAAGCGTGGTGTACACATACAACAAAGTATTATTCAGCCATAACACGGAGTGAAGCACTGATACATGCTACAAGGTGGATGAACTTTGAAACATTATGCTAAGTGAAAGAGGCAGACACCAAAGGTCACATATTGTATAATTCTGTTTATATGAAGTGTCCAAAGGAAAGTAAGCCTAGATACCAAAAGCAGGTTGGTGGTTGCCAAGGGCTGGGCCTGGAAGGCATGGGAATAACTGCTTAATGGGTATGGTGTTTCCTTTGGGGGGATGAAAAGGTTTTGGAACTACATAAAGGTGGTGGTTGCACAGCACTGTGAATATACTAAATGCCACTGACTTGTTCACTTTAAAATAGTTAATTTTATAATGTTATATAAATTTCACCTAAAAAATATCACTACACAAAAGTGCTTTGCTAGGATGGTTAAGCAAAATATGGTACATCCAAACAGTGGAATATTATGCAGCCCTAAAAAATTCAAGGATGTTTTAATGACACGGAAATATGCTTACAGTGTAATGCTAAGTGAATAAGTAAGATAAAAATTGTATATGCAGCATTTTACTAATTATGTTAAATAAAAAGTGCGCAGAAAAGACAATATAAAAATAAACTAAAATGTTTGTTATCCAGATTTTTTAAAAATTTATGCTTCCATGGTCTGAGTGTCTACTAAGTGTCAGGCACAAGTGAAGGAGGCAGAAGGAGGCACCTTTGTCCTCCTGCAGCAGAGGACAGGGGACTTGGGACAGCGGCCCTGGGCCTAGAGAGAGCTGGGAGGTCAGCAGAGCTGGAGTCCTCTCTCTTCTCTGCCCCAGACTCCCTGAGTGACCCTTCCAGGCCTATGTCCTTCTCTTCCACAAAAGGAGAGGCCAGAGAGCCCCTTCTGGAGAGCCATCCATTGTCTTGGCATTTCCCTGAAGAAATACCTGCCCACATGCCGAAGGCCACACATCCAGGATGGTCCCAGCAGTATGGTTTGTCGTAGTGAACACCTGAAACAACCCGAATGTTCCTCAGCAGGGGAAAGAGAAATAAGGTAGGGTGGGCACTTGCCGAGACACTCAGAAGGAATGAACTAGACCTCTGTCTCTCATCCTGCCTAGACCCTGACACTTCATGATCAGAAGGTGTGTATGTGGGGGGAAGGAAATTGCAGAAGAATCTCACAGTTAGATAGCATTTATGCAGATCTTTAAACTACAGAAAACAATTCAATGTATTATTTATGCATCATGTTTATGCAACACAGTTATAAAGGCATAGGCTGGAAGGACTAATTCATGACAGTGGTTTCCTCTAGGGAGGGAGAGAAACAGAATGAGAGGGATACAAGGTGGGGACGCTTCAATTTTCTCTCTTACTTTTAGAAATTTTATTTTATTTTTTAATCTGAAGCAAACATGACAAAACGCTAACATTTGGTAATCCTGGGTGGTGGGTCCCTGGGATATTTAACATACTATTCTTTTCACTTTTTCTGTATTTAACCCCTGAGCCGCTCCCCGACAAGGACAGTGATGAGAAAGCCATGAGATAAGGGAACTGATATTTACTGAGGCCTTTCTCCGTGCTGGTTCTCAAAGCACAGTCTCTGGACCGATGCACAGCATCGGCCTCCCCAGGGAACATATTAGAAATGCAAATTCTCAGGGTCCTGCTCCAGAACTACTGAATCAGAAACTCTGGGGTCAGGGCCCAGAACTCTAGCTTTGAGGAGCCTCCCAGCTGATTCTGATGTGCCGCTGAAGCTGAGAACCGCGGGCTAGGCCGAGTAGCTGGGGCAGCAGGTAACACGCGTGAAGCACGCACACCTGCGGGACGGTGCTCTCGGGCTCTCCTGCAGCAGCTCGATCTCATCTTCCAGACAACCCCGTGGCGAGTTCCGGGGACAATATTACTATTGTCCCCATCCTATAGCTCAGAAATGGAGGCCATGAAAGGCCAAATCCCCCGCCCAAAGTCCCAGGGGCAGGTTGCTCCCAGGGGCCCCCTTCCTTAACCAGGACACTACACTGTCCTCACCTGCAGGACCCCCCCCACTCCAGCGCACTGCAGCCTCGGGAGAAGGAATGACGAGCCCCACTTGACAGATGGAGAAACTGGGGTTCAGAGATGAGGGCCAGTCACTCTCAGCAACGGGGAGAGCGAAGAGGCTGACACCCTGCGGTCATTCCGTGAGGCTGGGGGTTTGACCTCGACGGGGAGGGCCCAGGGCCCGGAGAGGAGGGGGGGAGCGCAGGGAGGGCTCCCAGCTGCAGCCCCGCCTGGGTGTGGCTCGCACGTCACGCCCATGACCAGCTGCCCCCTTCCCCACCACCGCGGCCAGCCCGCCGTGACCCGCCACCCACCCCCACGGGGAACCGTGAGGGCTTCCCCCCGGGCTTCGCGCAGCCCCATTCCTTCCTTCTCGTTTTCTTTTTTTTTTTCTTTTGCAGAAGGGGAACCTGGACGGCCGAGAGAAGTGGCAGCTCCAGCATAAAGGCGCTCGGGGCCCGAGCTCCCCCTCCGCCCCGACTTTCCCGGGTGGCGGCTGAGCGGTTCCGCCCCCCAGCTGGGTGCCGGCTCCCGGGTCTGCCCCTCCGCCGCCCCCCGACG